AGACTCCCCAGCCCAGCCTGACCAGATGAAGGCTGTACTTACCAAGTACTTTTTACTTAAGTAGGAAGAAAGTTATTGCTAAGTTAAAAAAAAAAACAAAACAAAATACTGAGGCCTGGAGAGATGGCTCAGTGGTTAACCACACTGGCTGTTCTTGCAGAAGACCTGTTTGATTCCCAGGACCCACATGGCGGCTCACAACCAGTCCCAGGGGATTCAACCCCCTCTTCTGGCATCTGAGGGCACCAGGCATGCACATGGTACACAGACATACATGCAGACAAAACACCCATACATGTAAATAAATGAATTCTTAAAAAGTTTTATAAGATTAAATATTTCAAAGATTTAAATGTACACTTAATGATTCCATCTTCTATGGCAGAGAGGCTAGATATGTAAAGGAGAACAAGACAAGAATAACTTCTTGCTGGGCTTGGTGGTGCACACCTTTGATCCCTACAACTTGGGAGGCAGAGGCAGGCAGATCTCTGTGAGTCTGAGGCCAGCCTGGTCTACAAATCGAGTTCCAGGATAGCCAGGGCAACACAGAGAAACCTTGTCTCAAGAAACCAAAAACCAAAACCAAAAAAACTTCTTGATGGAAACTGTGGCACTTGCCTTTAATCCCAACATTTGGGAGGTAGAAGCAGTTGGATCTCTGTGAGTTCAAGGGCAGCCTGGGCTATATAGACACTGTCTCAAAAACCAAAAAAGAAAATGAAAAACTTCTAACTTTATGAAGCTTTCCTCCTGAAAATGAGAATGCAGACTATCATAAAATGGAGTTGGAAGGACCTGAGAGAGGTTAGGCACCCCCAAAGTCCCGGCAGCCATGCCCAATGCATCCTAACAACAAACTCATCTTGGAGCAAAAATGGTCCAGCTGTTCCTTCAGAGGCACCACTTTGAAATGACCTAGAGTTTGATTCTCTTCCTTTCTTCCTTCCTTTCTCTTCCCTTTCTTTCACTTTTGGTTTTTGGTTTTTGGAGACAGGGTTTCTCTGTGTAGTTTTGGTGCCTGTCCTGGAACTCGCTCTGTAGACCAGGCTGGCCTCAAACTCACAGAGATCCGCCTGCCTCTGCCTCCTAAGTGCTGGGATTAAAGGTGTGTGCCACCGCCGCCTGGCCATTTTTGGTTATTTTTGAAGTTGTATTTTAATTACAATATTTCTCCCTTCCCTTTCTCCCTCTAAACCCTCCCATATATCTCTCCCTGCTCTCCTTCAAATTCATGGCTTCCTTTTTCTTTTTTTTTTTTTGGTTTTTTGAGACAGGGTTTCTCTGTGTAGCTTTGCTCCTTTCCTGGAACTCACTTGGTAGCCCAGGCTGGCCTCGAACTCACAGAGATCCACCTGGCTAGGATTAAAGGCGTGTGCCACCACCGCTCGGCAACAATGGCTTCCTTTTTCATCAATTGTTATTGCATGCACACATGTATATAAATATATATTCCTGAATATAACCTGTTCAGTTCATATAATGTTACTTTCTTTGTGTAGGGTTGAGGTCTTGTGGGCTTTCTTTTCTTTCTCTTTTTTTTCTTTTATATTATTTTTAGAGAGAGAGTCCCACTGTTCTGTTGGAGCCTCCAGCTTGCTCCTACACGATCCAGAAAGCCTCACTCTTCTCTATGTAAGCCCAGCCTGCTCAGAGAGTCTCCACACAAAGGAAAGGCACCAAAGAGCCCGGTTCCAAATTCTTGTGGCTGTTGTAGCCCCAACCCTCAAGTTACGAGCTGTCTGAACCCCACCTAAGTGCTTAGCTTTTGACCATACTTGGACACAAACCGAGCTGTGGCAGACACATCATCACCCCTCACCTACAACCTATAAAATCTCCCTGCTTTAGTCTAGGGGCGTGACTTTTCTGACCTCTATCGCTGGGACTGGAGTGTTGGTGGGAAGGAGAATCAACCAACAGTTTAAGGCCATCTCAGATACAGCGAGTTAGAGGCTAGCTAAACTATGAAAGACCCAATCTTAAAATAACAACAGCAACAAAGATCTCAGGAACGACCAAAACAAAACCACAGTTATTGGGAGAACAAGAAACACAGGAGGTCAACACAGGACGGCAAACCTTATGCCAGTTTCAGAATCCCCGTAAACGTGTAAGGTGTGGCCCAGACTTAAGGTAGTCTAGTACTTTTCCCTTGCCAACTTTTTTGTTTGTGTGCACTGAGGCAAAGTCTCTTGCAGCCCAGGCTGGTCTTGAACTTACTAGGTAGTTGAGAATGACCTTGAACGGACTCTCCAGCCTCCACCTTCCTAGTGCTGGCATTATAGGCCTGGGTGGCCACACTCTTTTTTCATTCTTTTTTCTTTTTTTGGATTTTTTTTTTCAAAACAGGGTTTCTTTGTGCAGCCTTGGCTGTCCCGGAACTCACTCTGTAAACCAGGATGTCCTCAAAGTCACAGAGATCCACCTGCCTCTGCCTCCTGAGTGCTGGGATCAACAGCACGTACCACCACAGCTGGGCAAGATTGCTGATTTCCATCAGTGTACAGCTGAGTTAAGTTTGGCCTAAAGCTGCCTCCTACCTAGTGTTATGTTTACCCTAACAGATACTTGGTGCATAGGGATAGTAACCTAACTGGATGTGCCAATAGACTGGTCAAAAAAAAAAAAGAAAAGCTTCGTTTGAATCAATCAGAAGTGGCCAGAGGGGGACTGGAGAGATGGTTCAGCAGCCGAATGCACGTAATGCTTTTGCAGAGAACCCGGGTTTGGTTCCCGGCACCTGTTTGGAGGTTATCAATCATTCCTAACTCCAGTACCAGGGGGTCTGATGCTTTCTTCTGACCTCTATGGGTACCAGATATTCATGTGGTACACATGACATGCACAAAGGCAAAACATTCATACACATAAAAATTAATAAACAAGTCTTTAACATTTTTTAAAAATTTTATATACATTGGTGTTTTGCCTGCATGTTTTGCCTCTGTATGAGGGTGTCAGATCCCATGGAATAGGAACTACAGACAGTTATGAGCTGTCATGTGGGTGCTGGGAATTGAATCCAAGTCTTCCCGAAGAGCAGCCAGGGCTCCCAACCGCTGAGCCATCTCTCCAGCCATAGATAAAGTCTTTAACAACAACAACAACAACAAAAAGACAGTTAGCCAGCCAAGCATGGTGGTATACACCTTTAATTCCATCACCCAGGAGTCAGAAGCAGATGGATCACTGATCACTGTAAACTTGAGGACAACCTAGTCTACATATAAGTTCCAGGCTAGCCAGAGCCATGCAGTGAAGCCCTGTCTCAAAAGGAAAACAAAACAACCAAATAAACTGGTCAGCTGCTCCTGCATGGTGGTGCATGCCTGTAACAACATAACTTGGGAGGCTGACACACACCTATAATCCCGGCACTTGGGGGGTAGAAGTGGGAAGATCAAAAGTACAAAGTTATCTTTTGCTACTGAGTGCCATGCTAGCCTGGGTTATAAAAGACCCTGTCTCAAGAAACAAACCGGCTAAAAAATGCAATAAGCAGGTTTTCCATTGGCCTATAGATTATTGTTATTTTAGTATTGTATGTTAATAAGACTAATAAAACTCTAAAGATTATAATTACCCAACACATACATATACACACACACACATTGTGATGGTTATTAGTGTTAATTATCAACCTGACAAAATCTAGAATCATCAACAGGAAGATGAGCCTATATGTATGATTGAGAGATTACGTTAATTATGTTAACGGAGGTGGGGAGATCTGCCCACTGGGGATGGCATCATTCCCTAGGCAGGGGATCCAAGATGTACATGAGGAAAAAGCAAGCTGAGCACTAATATGCATATATTTATTATTGTTTTCTTTGGATTGGTGGGACATAATGTGACCAGCTGCTTCAAATTCCTGCCACTGTGACTGCCCCCTGAAATAGTAGACTGTGAGCTGAAAAAAGCCTTTTCTCCCTTAAATTGCTTTTGTTGTGGATTTTACTACAGGAACAGAAAAGAAACTAAGACATCCATGGACCTTGTGCTGGATAGTTTTATGTCAGCTTGACACGAGGTAAAGCACTCTGAGAGGAAGGAGCCTCAATTAAGAAAAAGCCTTCATAAGATCATTCTGTAGGCAAGCCTGTAGGGCATTTTATGAATTAGTGATTGATGGGGGCGGGGTGTCAGCCCATTGTGGGTGGTTCCATCCCTGGGCTGGTGGTTCTATAAGAAAGCAGACTGAACAAGCCTATGTGGAGCAAACCAGTAAGCAGCATCTTTCCATGGCCTCTTCATCAGCTCCTGCCTGCAGGTTTCTATCCTGTTTGAGCTCCTGTCTTGAGTTCCTTCAATGATAAAGAATGATGTGGAAGTGTAAACCAAATAAACCATTTCCTCACCAACTTGCTTTTGCTCATGGTGTTTCACCATAGCAAAAGTAACCCTGACTAAGGCAGACCTTAAAACCAGTAATAATGATAATAATAATAATAGTAACAATAATTATTATTATTTGATTTGTTGAGACATGGTTTCTCTGTATAGCCCTGGCTGTCCTGGAACTCCTTCTGTAGACCAGGCTAGCCTCAAACTCACAGAGATCCCCCTGCCTCTGGCTCCTGAGTGCTGGGATTAAAGATGTACATCACTACCACCACCACCACCACCCAGCTAGTTGGAATTATTTTTAATCCCTTGGGATCAGACACATTTCAAGATCATCTTCGGGGAAGTGGGGATCCTGGGAGAGAGTGAGACCACTGCCATGCTGACCTTGAATGTGTTTCAGATAAAGAAGGAAGCTATAAGATCTTAGAGCTGGAGGGTGTGGCATCCGCTCAGTGGCTTTCTTTTTTATTGTGCAGTGTAGCAGTTTCTGGTCTTTCAATAGAATTGCCCAGCTCTTCCAGGAGTTTGGGTTTGGGGTGTATACACAAGCTGAACCAGCGGGAACGCAAACAGGAAAGCCTCCAAATACAAACCCGTGGGGCACGGCCCACAGCACAGTCACAGACATGAGTGGCGTTACTACTTACTGTCCTCGGGGAGGTTGTTTTCCCGCTCTTCTCTCTCCATCTGCTGGCACCAGCCTTCCATGCGGTCTCGCTCTGCCTGGAGAAGCTTCAGGAACCAGTGGCCATCCCGGTGGTACACAGACCTTTGAACAGCCTCCAGAGGGTCTTCTGTGATAGAGTCAATCCAGGGGTCCGGAGGAGGCAGGATGGAGGGGTCAAAATCCGTGTCAAAGTCATCGTCGGCTGCACAGGCATGGTAATGGTTTCCTGAACCCTGGATGCTGACGGTGGATGTGCTGGCATCCCGGGAGAACTGCCTGGCCATTGGGCCGGGACATGAATTGTCCTCTATGGATTCCAGAGAATTTTCCAGATTATCATGGAAGTCCAGGTCAGCCTGCACTGCGGTGGTCACACTGTTGGACCGAGTAAACCTGCGGAAGCTTGGGAGAGAAGAGAGATGAGGTTCAGTTCCCGGGTATTTATTGAAATGTAACTACATCCTGTTTGTTTGTGGACCTGACAAGGGGTGTTGTCAAATCTTCTCAGTGTTTGGAGGCACAGTTGGGGGTGACCTTTGAGTTGAATATGCTGGTTGTCACAGGTCTAAATCTTTGTTAAATATGGAATAATAAATCATATGCAGAGCAATTGTATAGGTAGGACAAAACGTAGAGCTACTGAAGTCACTATGATGACCAGTGTCTGACTTCTTCCCCAGATCTGGGGCGGCTTTCAGACGGCCACTGGAGAAGCAAAGCGTTTCAGTTAGGTTTCTATGTAATTTGCTAAGAGAGGGGGAGAAGAATGCAACCTAGGCTTGATCAAGACCGTCATAATTCCTGCATTTTCCCAGGCACAACTCTTAGGAAAGAAATTTCCTAAACGCTTGTTAGGTTTCCCTTAAAATTAAAACCTTGTTGCTTGGTAAGCATTCACCCGACAGTCCTGTAGGTCCACGTAATAACACGGTTCCAAGTCTTCGGGAGAAAGAATAACTTACAGTTCTAGCACTCTCCATGACTACCCTCCCCTGTACGTTTGCTTTGCTTTCCCACAATTATCCATCAAAGGTGGCCAGACTTCTTATTAACAGGTTCAGTTTGGGCATTTCTCTCTCTCTCTCTCTCTTTATTTTTATTTTTTATTTTGTTCTTCGAGACAGGGTTTCTTTGTGTAGCCTTGGCTGTCCTAGAACTTGCTCTGTAGACCAGGCTGGCCTGGAACTCACAGAGATCTGTCTGTCTCTACCTCCCAAGTGCTGGGATTAAAGGCGTGCACCACCACTGCCTGGCTAGTTTGGGCATTTCTATATGGATATTCATGGGAACAAGTTTTTTGGTTTTTTTTTTTTTAATTTTTCTGAGTATCTCTTGCTTACTCTTATAATGAATGTGGACTGTCAGAGGGTTGTGATGGATTGAAGTATCAATTTCTCTATATCCCATCAACAACACCTCTTGTTCTCTAGTTGGTGTGTGTGTGTGTGTGTGTGTGTGTGTGTGTGTGTGTTTGCCTGTGTGTATACACACAAGAGTCTAGAGCAGTAGTTCTCAACCTGTGAGTTTGACCCTTTGGGAGGTCGAGTCACCCTTTCTCAGGGGTCACATATCAGATATTTGCATTACAATTCCTAACAGTAGCAAAATTACAGTTATGAAGTAGCAACAAAAAGAATTTTATGGTTGGAAGTCACCACAACATGAGGAACTATATTAAAGGGTTGTAGCATTAGGAAGGTTGAGAACCACTCACTGGTCTAGAGGAAGACATTGGTTCTTCTGTTCTATCCATTTCCACCTTATTCCCTCGAGACAAGGTCTTTCACTGAACCTGGAGCTAGGCTAGTGGCCAAGAGGACCCAGTGAGCTTCTTATTTCTGTCCCCTACTGTGCTGGGGTTACAGGCAGGCATGTGGGTGTTGGGGATTTGAACTCTAGTCCTCGTGCTTAAGAATTATTAAATAATTATTTACTTTTATTTTACATGAGTGTTTTGCCTGCATGTGTGTATGTATGTACATATGTATGCATGTATGTGCATTGTGCACATGCCTAGTGCCCTCAGAGGCCAGGAGAGGGTGTTGAGTCCTTTGGTACTGGACTTACAGATGACTGGGAGCCACCATGTGGGTGTCAGGAGTCAAACTTGAGTCCTCTGCAAGGGCAGCCAGTGCTCTCAACCACTGGACCATCTCTCCAGTACCTTAGTTTAGTTTTGTTTTTTTTTAACTGAAGCCACTACATGAGCATGACATGATACATTTCCTTGGGTGGCTTATAACTGTGCCACTTTGAGACTATCTGCCATTGATTTCCGATTAGCGTTTCACATTCAACAGTATCAACCTAAAAGGACTGTGCATTAAGCAAAGTCTGGGTAGCATTAAATATCTCAGACTCTCACAATTCTCTTGGATTACCCTGTGTAAGCCAATTAAAGCTAATGCTTGGAGTGCATCAAAACAAACAAAGGCCCAAATGACATGGGGAAGCAGTCATGTGAACGAGTTAAAACAAGTAATCGAAAGGAGAAATGATCATAGTCTCAAAAAAACAAAACAACAACAACAACAAAAACCCCATGTTTTCCCCCTAGGGAATATATGTTAAAGAAAAGATGTCTGGAGGACTGCTCTGTGTTGATTATTAAGAGTAAACACAAGCCGGGCAGTGGTGGCGCACACCTTTAATCCCAGCACTCAGGAGGCAGAGCCAGGTGGATCTCTGTGAGTTCGAGGCCATCCTGAAACAGAGTGAGTTTCAGGAAAGGCTCCAAAGCTACACAGAGAAACACTGTCTCGAAAAAAAAAGAAGGAGGAGGAGGAGGAGGAGGAGGAGCAGCAGCAGCAGGAGGAGGAGGAGGAGCAGCAGCAGCAGGAGGAGGAGGAGGAGCAGCAGCAGCAGCAGCAGCAGCAGCAGCTAGCCTGGTCTACAGAGAGTGAGTTCTAGGACAGCCAAGTACTACACAAAAAAAATCATCTCAAACAAACAAACAAACAAAAGTAAAGACAGTCACCCACAGATCTTTAATCCCAGCACGTGGAAGGCAGAGACAGACAGTCATATACGTCACGATCCAGGCCACTCACTTTAGGTCATCTCATCGCTTACGCTTTTAAGAAATTGCATGTGGCCCGCCATCATAGCACATGCCTCTAATCCCAGTGCTTGGATCTCTGGTGACTTCAAGGCCAGCCTGGTCTACACAGAGAGCTCCAGAACAGCCAGAGGTACATGGTGAGGCCCTTTTCAAACCACACCACCACTACCACACGCACACACCAAGAAAAGAACTCGCATCTGTTGACATGATCAGCTCTGGTTACTTCTGGAAACTGTTAATACTCCAAAGAGTCAAAGTGTGTGTGTGTGTGTGTGTGTGTGTGTGTGTGTGTGTGTGTGTGTGTGTATAAGAGAGTGTGTGTGAGTATGTGTGTGTGGGAAGAGTGTGTGTGTATGGGGGGCTGTTGTATGTGGTGTGCAAGTTTGAAAGTCATGTTAAGAAGTCTCTTTGTTTTAACAAGGAAGGGCAGAAATTCGGGTAAAATGTTCCTTCCAGCAAGCACTCACTTCTTGGCTGTTTCTGTATTTCTTCCACTTTGTCCCTAAATGTTAAATGTCACTTCCTGATGCTGAGCTTTCTCTCCAGCTGTCTGAGTGTGACTTGTATGGCACTCATCACCACAGCTGACATGTTGGCTGTTCTATTAACTCGAAACTGCAGAAATCTTTAGGCGTCTTTCCCCGAGACCTCCGATTGCCAGGGGATCGGATTTCCAAATTTCCTAGTCCCCCTTGTGTTCCAGCAGCTCCACGGAGCAAACAGTGGCTGACTTTCCCGTTTTCAGCCACACGGGGAACTGTCCCACCAGCATTCCTAAGAGCCGTCTCCCGGCTGTGGGTTGGGTAATGTATCCACCTTCTTAAGAAAAATTACTTGGCAGTAGATTAATAGAAGTTTGCAGTTTAGCCACCCAGAAAGAAATAAAAGTTAAGCGAAACGAAAATGGTTTGGGATTAAAAGCGGCGCCTTTGAGCTCCAGCAATCCTGCACAAGCTGTGCTTTCTTGCCCCTTCAGTCCCACAGGCAAGCGCTCTCTTCCACGAGAGCCCTCAGAGGATGTTCTGCACCACAAAACTGCTCTGTGTCTTTCGAGCGCAGAGGCCCTTGCGGGGCTAAGGGCGTGATCAAGCTGTGACTGGGTTAAAGTTGTGGGTGCGAAGACAGGAAAGGGTCCGCTGAGATTAATCTCTGTGAACGGGGTAACCCGAAAGCTGGGCCTGAGCTGGCTGCTCCCAAACCCACACTTCCCAGGCTTGAAGCTCTCTCTCTCCCTTCCTGCGTGCCCTGCAGGCACAGTGCGTAATGATTACAGAGCTGAACAAGGCCAGCCAGTACTCAGGCCTAGGATGCAGAGAAGCAGTGGAGAGAGAGAGACTGGGTCAACCAGTGCAGAGGACAAAGCCTTGTGTGTTCTGAAGAGTGAGCCACAAGTCCCCGGCTAGCAGTCCCAGCCGGGGCCCTCGTGCCTGAGAAACAAGTGGGTGTTTCTGGCCGAAGGACTTCCTACACCGTTGCCACGATGTTTCTCTATGGAACAGGTTACAAATGAACATACCGGTTCCTGTGCTACAGTTTAAAAAAAAAAAAAAAAAAAGGAGTGACGGAGTGACTGCTAAGCACAATTGCCATCTGCAGTATGTGTTTGTGTAGGGGCTCGGGCTTGAACCCAGGGCCGTGCACGTGCTAGGCAAGCGCTCGCCTACAGAACTACACTCCCATCCTGACATCTCTCTGTTGATGGTCTGGACCTGCTTGACCTTCAACTGTTGACATTCAAGTCACGTGGGATTTTAGGGAGAGTAATTCAGTCATTCCACGGCAGAGCCCCCAAGTCTCTGGTGACCCTTTTATCTCTCTGTTTGTGTAACAGTTGCCTTTCAGAACGAAATCTGGCCACAGAGTTGGGAGTTGGAATCTTAGGCTGTTCTTTCTTCTGAGGAATCCTCAGCCTTCCCACATAAGCCTTTCACCAAGCTCCTGTCAAGGCTTATGTGGGATCTGAAAACGTGTTCCTCAGTGCGAAGCCCATCTTGGTGCTTTGTGAACTGGCACCATTTCTGATCAAGACCCAACATAACTCATTATACAAAATAAAAGTCAAAAGGAAGGGGTGGGAGGTCACGACTCCTCTAAAAATGTACTCTTTACACTCGGGAGGCAGAGGCAGGCAGATCTCCGTGAGTTCGAGGCCAGCCTGGTCTCCAAAGCGAGTTCCAGGAAAGGCGCAAAGCTACACAGAGAAACCCTGTCTCGAAAAAAAAAAAAAAATGTACTCTTTAGTCAGAGATTCCGGAAAAGCGAAAACGGAACACAGCAGAAAACAGCCGTGACGTGGCCCTCACTGGGAGAACTCCCCGGTCACCACGTGAACAAAGCT